ATTCCACCAGAGGGCCCTGAACGTCCGTCGGGAAGGGAGGAGGCATGGTCACCCAGACCGTGCAATGATTAAAATACTGTGGATCTTTATTTATTGACAAGGAAATAGGTCTATGATAAGTTTAAAAAGGAAAGGATATTAAAAGTCGTATGTATAATATATAAGTAGTGACAAGATCTAGAATGAAAACACCCGAGTGCTCTGAGTGTTTAGATGGTGGGTTATGGGTCCCTTTCATGTCTTAATAATCTGATTTGGTACCACCTACAGCTTCTTCTGTGGTGCACATATATGTATTACTTTATTGTCAGAAGAAGTTATAAAGCAGTTTCTGTTTAAAAAGTTAATCACTAAGCATCCTCTACAAGGGGTGACCTGCATCTTCATAATGCTGTTCCAGAGGAATCTTGGATTGCTAGGACCCCGACTGGTATGGCAGAATTGGCAAGAACCAATGGAAAGCAGCTTTTACAAAAGCACAACTTAGTATCCCCCACGATATGCAGAAAATGACAACAAGAGAGCACTTGGGGGCCTCCCCTGCCCTGCATGACACATTCCTGTAGTTCTGTGACATTACCCGTCCTACCCACGGTTTTTAGGCACTAGTAGCCGTTTCCTTCTGGGAGAATGGACGGCCTGAATTAAGGCTGTAACGGGCAGGCAGACCCAGACTGATTCAGCCTGCCCGAAGTCTGCCCCACCAGGTCTTCAGGATGGGTTTATTCATGTCCCCTGCATTTGATGGTCACTTTCTGTGTTTCTATTTAAAAACCATGTCCAGTGTCTGTGTGCAGCTAAGGGCTTGGCCCCTCTGTGTGAAAATGTCTCACAAAGCAAGTGAGTTTGTAGAGCAGGTGCTCTGGGGTGCCCCTTAGTGGGCTGCACAGGCCAAACAGGCTCATATACGGGCTCCCACAGTCTGTCACACAGTGCCCGCTGGGTCTCCCTGGGCCTCATGGAGTAAGGGCCACCCACTACCAGGAGCCAGCACCCTGTGGAAGCCCCACCCTGGGAGGCAGCAACACCAGCACACTGCCTCCCGATCTCAGCACTGGAAGAGAATTCCTCAGAGGGAAGCTGTGTCTGGGGGAGGCAGCCGAGGGGTGGGCAGGGCTGTGGGGCTGTCCAGGTCTTTCCTGCTYCTGCACCCTCCTCCTACCTTTCCTGGGCAGCTCCCAGGATAAGCACCCTCCAGGGAGCACCCAAACGCCTTGTTTTATAAACTGGAGCCAAAAGCATTTGCTACTTCATACAAAAGTCATTTGTGAACTGTTAACAAGCTGTTGCTGCACCAGGAGGGGCCTGAGCCACCAGCTGAAGGATGTCACCTCCTTCCATGGAGGGGTAAAGACCCAGGTCACGTCTAATTAGCACTTCCCTGTCCACATGCACCGTGATCATCCCAGGTGTGACAACCTGGTCAATAACCATAGCTGTGCTGATCCTGAGTGCCAACTGCCCTTCACAAGGATGAAATGGGAACGACTTCTCAAATCTTGGTGTTTGATGACTACAATCTAAATTGTAGCCCCTGGGTCAAGAAGGTGTGTTCATTGCTTTTAAACACTATAATGCTGAATGAATGAACCAGTTCAACTGACTTAGCTGATGAGCTGTTCTGTTATTTTGTGGGCCTGCCTAATCACACAGGTTCTGAGAAAAGAAAAGAATTCATTCGCTGAAGCTCTGTGCACTTCAAGTTAGTCATACTTTTTCCTTTGTTATTTACAAAACGTGAAACAACCAATGGTTTCATGAGCTGTGGTAGAAAGTCCTTAGCTAAACTGGGCATCTAAGAGGATGATTGTCAGAGAGAAGAGACTTTGTCCTGGGATGCAGTCAAAAAAGCTCTGCCTGAACCCAGCCCTGGCATTGTGTTCCATGTTAGACTTCAATCATGCCACCCAGTAGAGCCAGGCAGCTCCTCTGACTCGCCGCTCTGCAAATGGGCTCATAGATGGCCTCAGAAGAGCTGGAATGGAGGGACATTAGAGATCTTTGACATTATTAAGATAGTTCAACAGTGACCACCAACTCAATAAGGTTACCATGGCCGGGCATTTCACTGTAGTGATCACACACCTTCTGGTGATCACCAGGAGGGCATTTTTTATTAGAAATTTATTTCTTTGGAATCACGCAGTTTGAGTGAATGCCAATATTGTTTTAGTTAGCTTTTGCATTGCTGTGATCCAAATACCCGACAAGAACAACTTAGAGAAAGGGAAGTTTACTTGGGGCTCACAGTTTCAGAGGTCTCATCCATAGATGGCTGACTCCATTGCTCTGGGCTCACACACCCCGGGTGGGGAATGGCCCAGTGGAGGAAAGCTCTCAACTCAGGCTGGGGCAGGGTGTGGGGGGAAGGGGCTTTGGGAAGAACCACCCTTCCAGGGCACACCCCAGTGACCTCTCCTCCAGCCACACTCCACCTGCCTACAGTTAGAGTTTGGTTCATTCAAACTAGGATGGAGTCATTAGGTCACAGCTCTTACCATCCAAGCATTTCATCTGGAAACACTCCTGCATTAACAGGAGCTTCTGGGGGACACCTCATATCCAAACTGTAACAAATATCTTTAAAGGAAAGAGAGCTTATTCTTTTAGAAGGCATTTACCATGTCCCTAGACCTCCATTTCTGAAAGCTTTTTCTGTTGGCTTCAGCACGTCCACTCACGGCTGCTTGACCCTTCGGCTTTCCATCTGGTGACCTGACACCCCGACATGGAAGACTCGGGTCTTGAAAAGTCTCCTTCCCGTGAACTTCCCGTGCTGTGGGGAGTAAATGAGGCCCCTGCACTGGTGGCATTGCGGACTGACTCGCGCAGAGTTCCTTCTGCTCACAATTGCTCTTTGTGGTGTCAGAGAACAAGGGAACCCTGGGCTCGTGGATTCCAGGTCTTTGTCATCCGTGCATCAAGTTCCGGGGAGGAGGGAAAACTCCYCCAAAACAGCTGTGTGTGAAGAAGGCCTGTCATTTAGAACACACAAGGAATCCAAGACCAGAGGTGGGGACCAGCGCTCGAGTGCGGTATGGCAAGGCTGGCGCTTGTGCAGGAGACTTCAGGGCTTGTCTTTGCAACCAAATTGAATCCAGCTAACCCAGCAGCACCATGTGCTGCTCAGGGAAGAGTAGGAAATGGGGGTGGGGGAGGGCTGGGAGGAGGAGAAACAAGAAAGGGAGCTTCGCTCACACTCATGGGGAATTTTCAAAAAGACTGGGAGGCTAGCCAGTATTCTCGTATCCTGAGGGTCCCCAACCTTGTAAAAGGTCACTTTTTCCATTTGTACAAGTACCTTTGTCTTGTTTTCCTCTCAYATTGGACCTCAGCTTCCACAATGGGACTCATCACACCCGTGAGGGGTGATGCTCCTTCAGGGTACTTTTACCTGCCCTGTGTRTCTGCACTCTGGAACTCAGCCATTTTGGTCTGGAGCGCCCAGGGTTTCCACTGAGTTCAACATTTGTAGGGGGGCATTTGAACTCCTTCTGGTTGGCACAACTCTGGCCACGCCTGGGGGTCAGTCAGGGGCTATGAAGGTGCTTTCTCCCAGTATTCAGGACGGGTGGATGGATGATCACCACAGGTCAACCCCATGCAGCAGCTGCTACACCCATGCCCAGTAACACCTTTTGTTGGCCCTTCCTGCCTTTCAAGGGTGTGATCACTGCCCTGTGTAGCATGAATTGTGACCATGTCCCATGACAACCAATTCTGTCCCAACATGGCTTCTGGGTCTCAGGCATCTGGGCAAGAAATGACACAAGGACAGTTTTTAAATCTCAAAAAGTTGCAAGTAACTAATAAAAATTAGTGACAATGGCTACTTACCAGTGTCTGTGTGCCAGGCTCAGAGTCACCTCGTTTCTGTGATGATCATGCGAGAGAATTGAGCTCAGCAGACAGAGCACCTGACTCCACTTCCAGACACTGAGAGCGCAGCCAGCCCACCCGCCTGCCCTCCTCACTCCCCCAGCCCAGTGCTGGTGTTCCCACCACAAGTTCTCGGGCGGCTCTGGAGGAGGACAACGAGGTGCCTGGTTGTGTTTCCTGTGCACTCTAGAACGTTCAGCCTGAGCATGGCCATAGTAATGCAGCTGCTGACAGCCACTCAAGTCACCTGCAGCTAGAGCACCAAGCACTTCCCCCTCAGTTAGAGGACATGGGGGCAGAGCATGCTTGGGGGCGCACAGAAGCTTGGTATTTTCCTGGTGCTTTTTGGTTCCAGCTCCCTTTTCCAGGGAAGAAGCTGCTCCRGTAGGCACACATTTTTGGTTGGAACACAGCTGGTCCTCTGCTCCACTATCTTCCAGCTGAATCCCAAAGCATTAATGACCAGGAGGCACCAATGGGATGACACTGTCTGCCAGCCACAGTCGAATGGGCTGTATAGACTGGCTGTGTGCTTTTCTTGTGTGTGAGTTCAGGTGACAGTGGGTGGGGCTCATGCCAGCTCTGCATCTGGACTGCCTGGGTTCGAATCCTAGCTTGCCATTCGCTACCTAGACAGCCTTGGGCAACTCCCTCCAAATCCCTGGGCCTCACTTTCCTGAGTCCCTGCTTCACTGGAGGCTGTGAAATGTCTGTCAYGAGGAGATACTCTATTCTTTGCTCTCTGCTAAAGTAGCCACTAGCCTAGTGCAGCTATTGAGCAACTGAAATGTGGCTCATATGTCTGACAAACTGAATTTTTCACTTTATTTTTATTCAAGTTCACGAGGACTTAAATAGCCCCACAGGGTTATGATTTACTGCAGTGGGCAGCACTGCCTTCTAGAACCATCGCTGGCTACTGTGACCACTCCCCACGTGGAGCCAGCCAGGCGCTTTCTCTTGCTCCCAGACAGCATCATGGAGGCTGCCGGAGCCTGTCCTCATTTTGCTCTGCACTGTTGAACAATTTTACTCTAAGTGCCATGATCATCACACTCTGCCATTTTGCATCTTCATAGCATTATCATTATCTAAAGCCAAGTCATTTCTCACTCTCTTACCTTACTAGCGGGTCAGCTCCAGGAGAACTAGGGCTTTCCTATCTTGTTCTTCGCTGATCCCCATCACCTAGAGAATGCCCCCAGTCATCCGAACCAGCCTTTCAGCAAGGGCTCTCCGGAGTTGGAACTGAGCGGTGATCTCACACTCTCTGGGCTCACACCTCTCTCGCAGCCCCCAGGATGTAGGGTAGTTTGTAGCAAAGAGAGTAAGACAGCTTGCAACTAGTTCTCTGACTGGCATGAGGATGATGCCAATGTGGAGGAAAGGATAGCTAGTCTTTGTCTCTGGGAAAATGGGGCCGGTGGGAAAGCTCTCCAGGAGTAAAGACGTTTCTGTTGGAAGGAAAGCATGGGCTTGCTCAGGGTGTTTGTGACGTACCTTTTTGGGTATATCTTACTGGCATGTGGAAAGTTATTCTGTTCTGAGCCGACCATGCCAACTCTGGCTGACCTTGTGGCATAGCACCAAACTTGAGATGTGCTGAGCCTCGTGTAAACAAGGACCCGGTTACGCTCTGGCCCTCTCCAGTGGTGGATAGGGACTCGGCGACTCAGGAGGCGCCTGTGCTGAGCTTTGATGGAATGAAAGAAGGCTGGCAATGCGACTGGTTGTCCATGAAGCTAACTTTATTTGACTCAAAGGACAATTCTTCCTTTTCACTTTAGATTTGCCCAGTTGAAAAATGTGCTATTCTGTGAATTCCGTAGTCTGAGAAACACTCGTCACCAGAAGGTATGGTGACTGCCAGGAACTACACGTCAGCACTGGTCTTGTTCTTGAATGTACCCTGTGCTGTTTACAGTCCCATGACAACACGGGGGCGGTCAGCCCTTCAACAAGGAACCTAGGGGTCGGAGCCAGGCCACGTCTCCAGTGCCCTTGTGGACGGTTTGCTGCTTACCACCACTTGGGGATAGGTCCTGACTTGGTCACTCAAGGACAAAGAAAACACTCTACGATTAAGCCCTCTGAGGTGCACATGCCAGCTCAGAGCCGGGGAAGGTGGCCCATGTGGGTGACCCTCACAGTGCCTCCAGGGCTCACTCCCTTGCCTGCCTCCTGCACCCGCAGGGTGAACTCTGGAGAGCAGTGCCCGTCTCAACTAGAGCAGTGTGGCCAGGCCCCTGGAGGAACCCAAYGACTGTGGAATGGATAAGGACTGGAGAAGCTGGGATGAAGCTGAGCCTTCAAGGATGGACAGGGCTTGGACCGGAGGAAGTACTTCTGGTGAGGTAGCCGTGGATGAGGGTTTAGAAGTAACAGTGAGACCATTAAACTATTGGACTCAGAAAGAACACTATGCAGAGTGGCAGGACACGGGTAGACCAGCCGTGTCAGATTGAAGTTGCATACTCAACTACTCAGAAAAGTTGAGATGGTCAGAGAGAGGAAACGGGGGGAAGCTTTTTATGCATTAGAGACAAAATTCCTACCTGAGGGAATTTAATGTGGCAGGGAAGGAGCAGGATGCAGAGGAAGGAAGTGCAGAGGACCCCGGTCCCTCAGTTCTAGGGAAAAGTACAGAGTGACTTTTACTTAAGACTTACATGCCAGGCTGGGTACTTAACAGACACTCAAAAAGAGATCATGGTATTACCTGTGTTTCACACCTCTGCAGGCAATCTGGAGGAGATAAACAACTTTGTTGAAGCTTTAGCTAGTGAGTGGCAAAGCTAGGATTCATCCCAAATCATGCTGACTCGGAAGCCCAGCTCCAGGTCACACTACACTGCTGTTCCCACAAGAAGCAAAATGTCACTGCTTACTAAAATATACTCATAGAATGCTGTTCTCCCCACATCCACTTCTCAGAAGTTCTCTTTTAGTTCAAGCCTGTAAGACCAGACTTGGGAGGCTGAGGCAGGAGGATCCAAGTTCAAAGCCCCAGACTCAGAAACTTAGCAAGCCCTAAGCAACTTAGCAAGATCCTGTCTCAAAATAAAACACAAAAAGGACTGAGCATGTGGCTCGGTGGCTAAATGCCCTTGGATTCAATCCTTGGTACAAAAAAGAAAAAGAAAAAAAAAATCCTTTTCTTTCTATATATTTTACTTTAGGCTGAAAGCGTCTTAGGTCTAGTCTTTTTTTGTTCTGTGCTAACAGAATTCTATTAATTATCTTGAGGCTGCTGCCTGAGAAAAAACATCACAGAGCAAGAGAATACGTTTCTCTTGTCCCACAGCTATAGAAATGCAGGACCTGCTCTGGATGAGGAGTCTAGTTCTGCTGAGGAACACAATCCAAATGGACATTCATGTTCCATGTAATCACCAATGAGTATTTTAAAACACCTGGATTTTAGTGATTCTTGCAAATCCTTTAAAATGTAACCTTTAACTTCTAAAAAAGTTTGTATTTTTAATTGTTTGCCTTACTTGATAACTTATGGTCTTAATAATACAATCTGAAGATGCATATCTTTCTTGATGATAACAAGCACTAAAGTTTGGCTAGCTGAAAGAGGGGCTTGGGATTCCCCTCTTCATACAGCAGATTAGAACAAACATAGGTAGTGACAAGCTCTTCATTCAAATGGAGCTTGAGTCTTTACCTGTTTAAATCAATAAGACTCAGCTGAACAAAATGGGGAGGGGAGAGAGGAAGACRGTGACTCCTCTGAGATATGTCACTGGGCAAGTAAGTGGTGTGCCACTGGGCAGAGCATGCTTCGCTTGGACTTGGTGAGGAGCTGGCTTGCTTCTGCAAACTGACGCTGCCCTGCCTAGAACACACCTACATACGCTATTATTCTGCTCAGTCTCCACAGTGGTTGTTCTGCAGCCGGTGCAAGATATAGCTTTTTTTTTTAATCCAAAGAACAGATGGAATTGCTGTGGACATTTTCTATTTTGAGACAATAGAAAGCAGAATACAGGGAATTCCATCCTCCCCCATATGATCAGGTTAGAGTCATGCTCTCATCAGGGGTGACTGTGGCCAGAGGGGACCCCTGGCAATGTTTGAGATATTTTGTGTTATCAGAACTAGGGAAGGGGAGCTGTTGGCACCTAATGGGTGGAGGCCAGGGTGCTGCTGTACAGCCTCCAGCATGCAGGAGGCCGTTGACCAAGAACCACCTGACCCAATGCCAGCTCTTCTGCAGTTGAGAAGCTCTGGGCTAGAGGCAATCTCATTTGAAATAAATTTTTGTCCCTTTTAACTTGAGGTTTATTCTGCTTTCCTTGGGTCCACTGGTCAACTGTGGGGGCATAGAGCTCGATGGAGCCATGTTTGCTTTTCTTCCTGTTTCAGAAAGCTACCAATACTGGAGAAGGGTCAGGCGCAGTGGTGCAGGCCTGTAATCCCAGTGGCTCGGGAGGCTGAGGCAGGAGGATTGCAAGCTCAAAGCCAGCCTTAGCAAAAAGCAAGGCCTTAAGCAACTCAGTGAGATCCCATCTCTAAATAAAATACAAAATAGGGCTGGGGATAGTGCTCAGTGGTCGAGTGCCCCTGAGTTTGATCTCCTATGTGCCCCCCCACCACCTCTCAAAGAAATACTGGAGAAGAAGGCAACCACCAGGCAGAAGGTGCAGGTGCCTATGTGAGTTTCTCCTCTGTATCTGAAAGCCCTGGTGAGGCAGGTGTGCAGACGACACCACTGTGCCTGCTTCACCGTGGGGATCACAGAACAGGCGTTGCCTTTGCTTGGAGGAACAGGGCTGCACATGGACCTGAACAGCCTGGGGGGTAAGAACTTCCTCCCCAGCTCTTGATGGAGATTTTGTTTTTCCTGTATAAACACTAATGAACTGAGAGATGAAGAGGTGTGTGCAACCTCTGGAATCCCAAATAAGGACTCCAGCATTCTGATTACAAAGGATGTGCAGGTGTGCGGAATGGAGTAGGCTACTGCATGCGGCCCGGGTGGGCACTTCCCTGGAGTGCTCTGACCAGAGGGCTACCAGTCTCCAGGACATTGCATGAAGCTTTGACATTTCTCAAATGCAAGGGAACTTTAGTTGTTAAACAGAATATCAGAATCCCCCCCCAAAATTATGAAATTATGCTCCAAATTCTAATATTTTACATGTACTAGCATTTTAAGAACAGCTTTCCAGGCTGGGAGAAATGAAAATGCACGCTTTACGGGCACCAGAGATTCCTGCTTACAAAAAGAGACATCATTTAAACTTTGTAATTCGCATAAATAAAATGGAGAAGCGAAAGAAATTAGTGTTGGGCTTAAAACCATTTTCTTCTTGAAAAAGGTCTCTTCCAAAGTAAAAACTATTGCTCAGGTTATAAAACCCCAGTTTAAAAATAAAATTTGAAGATATAGGTACAAATCAAAAAAGCAACTTGTCTTAAAAAAAAAAAACCTTCTGTACTAAGAATAAGAACGAGAATATGCCAATGTAATATGAAAAAATGACACAAAAAGAATTAAAATTATTAACATTTTCTTCAGACTCTAAAATCCTTTCATACATTGCTTTGTGAAGTTGGGGTTCCCTTTCTGGGGGCAATTTAAGTTTGCAACTCATTTTATCAATAAAGCAAGCAGTTTGGAGTATCTTAGAGCCAGGCTCTGTGAGGACTTTGGAACACSCCCATGATCAAATGAAAACATTTTGGCCTCACGGAGACAGCTTTCTAGATGACCCACACATACCAACGTGCACCAAAAAAGCAGGATTTTTTCACAAAGGCTAAAGTAGCGACAATTTCCCAAGTTCCTTACACTTGCTTTACAGATCATAAATGATCYCTGTGCAAATTTAAGCATGAGGATTCAACTAAAGTGGATGGTACCTTAAGAAATTAGTATCTTCATAAATTGCTTAAAAAAATCTCTGACAATATTACATATTATGAAACCTATAAAGTTCCTCTGCTTCTGCTAGCTGAGCCATGTTTGAAGGGGCTGTATTCCTCTGCCAATGCTTAGTGGCAACAACTGTGTTATCCTTTAGTGTACATTTTATATTTTTGAAAATCTCTTATTCTCTATGGACTAGTAGAGCACTGCAGTAATTAGTTAATAATGTATATTTACCTAAAGATTGTAAAGAAATTCAAATTCAAGTGGAAGAGGCAAACCTCACAATTTGACAGTCCCCATGGATCATCTATTGGGTCTTTTGAACGTCTGTTTTTTTAAGCTCAAATTAAGATGGCAAAATCAATCAATAATACTTAAAATCTACACATTTAAATCTCTAAATAATAGACTGCCCTTTAAATGAACTGTTGGTGTGACTACCTGTGTGGATGGTGTGTGTGTCACTGAACTAAAACCAACAAAAACTGTGCAAAGCCGAGGAGCAAGCCCTGGTGGCTCCCAGAGCAGGAAGCTGGCCTTCGGGACAAAGTCTGTCCCCAACAAGGAAGAAGCTCCTCTTCCTGGCCACTGCCCTCACTGGAGTAGGGAGCAACCCCGCTCTTGCCAACTCACCCTGACCAGACACTGCAGTCGCAGGCACTTGTGGTGCTTGAGGGCCCGTCTTATCGCTAAGTCATGGCTTTTAGAAATAACCGTCCTTTGGTGATCAGCATGACCCAGGTGCTCTATGGTCAGTTGTCCTTCTCAGGCTGATCAGCCCCTTCTTGTGCTTTCTTGTCCTCAATCAAGCCCCACATGATAACAGGCCTCTGGAGAGGGTCTTTACAACCAGACATCTTTGGCATTTGCCAAATATCCCCTTTGTAGCTCCAAGGGATATGGTTTCCTCACCTGGCTGTGTGTGCTGGGTGTCCCATGGCCGGGGACACACAGACAGGAAAGGATGTGAGGGGTCATTAGAGGTGGTATGCTCTATTTTCCATGGGTCAGCCTTGCTTGTCTAGCTTAGGTTCTAGGAAGAAACCATAAGCCCAGAGAGCAGCTTATGGAGTAGGGTTGTAAATATGTTCAGATTAGCTTCATTCAAAGAAAAAAACATGGTTTTCACGTGAATGTTGTAGTAGTTTCCCTGCGTGTAGAAGGTACTCACATGCAAAGGCTGACACATGACTTCCAAAACACTCCTAAAATTTTTTATTTCTGGATTTGGCACATTAAGTGCATCTATTTAAAGCAAGAGTCCATAATTTAGAGACAAGGTTGTAAATAAAGCAGTAAAGCCCTGTGCATCCATCCGAACTTCACTGCCTCACCAGAAGCAGAAGAGGTGGGCAAGTCTCAAAAGGGAATTGTGAACAATACTCTGGTTGGGATTTCTGAAACTGGACTGAAGTGGCCGGATCCCCTACCTACAGAGTGTTGAGTGAGCATTTTGACAAAGTCTGGAACTTTCACCTAAAAGGTTGAGAGGCTTGTGAGCCTTATGGTTACTGCTCCAATGGCAGAACATTATTGTGCGAGATGAGCCTGTGCCCATCATTGGAAGACACCTGGGAAGGGTGTCAATGGATGTCATTCCCAGACCAAAAATCTGTGAGGCTAGATGCACACTCAATTCAACTGTCCAAGACAATGTTGCAGCATTCGTGAGATCAGCTCCATAGTCCCTTCTAGTGTGCTCCTCCTGTAGGAGGTCATTGTCCCCAACTGCTTAGTCACTTCCAG